TGAAACAGCAAATTACAATGGGGAGATTCAAAACCCCCGATTCTCTGAGGTAAAATTTAACAGGCCTACCTGGGACAACTATAAGAAACCCTTTAATAAAAATTACCTCAGCGAAGCATCAGGAAAAGGCAGCCAGGATAGTACTTCACCTAAATTAGCACGGCCTACCTCTCAGAACCAAAAGAACTCTGAGGAAAAGTTTTAACAGATCTCCTCGGAATGAGGGAAGGTTAATAATGGGAGGGATGATGGTCAGATCAAGAAAGTATACTGCTTGAAAACTGCAGAAGCTACTGAAGGTTGTAACAATGGTGGTTCTGTCTCCATGGCAACTGGCACGACAGAACATTCTGATCTGCCACTAGCCCAGGTCGTTCAGTGTTTTCTAGTAAAGGCAGAAGATATTTTAGTTCATAAGCCTGGTGTGAGGATTCTTATTAATGGAAAGTCTTATGTATGTGGGGTTGATACTTGTTCTAACATAACCCTGTGTCATCCTGAGGTGACTCCTAAAGAGCAAATTCTCCCAAACCAGACTGTTACCATCAAGGGAATAAGTTCTATGCCAGTGATTTTACCCATGGCTAAAGTGAAAATAAACTATAGAGATTGGATCGGAAATTGGGACGTGACAATTTCTGATCAAATTCCTGCACCTTGTTTAATTGGGCGAGATCTCACTAAGCATGCATAGAGTGTTTGTGAAGTAACAGGTTCCCTGAGAGACCAATTAACAATCCATGAAGGAAAAATAGATTTCCTAGCCACTGAATCTATCCAGGGATGCCCCAAGTTAGAAAAGAACCATGAGGTAACCAAAATGGCTAATGAGGCTATTTTGAAAACCCCTAATGATCCTTCCTGTATTAAGGAACAGATGGAAGACAGTTCTTTTAAAGATTGTACTACACTGACCCCTGAACAGGCAGAGAGGTCTATGACTGATACAGGCCTGACATATAGAGAGGGTTTACATTTGATAGAGCATGTTAAGAATTCTTTTGTACTTACACGCTCACAAGGGGGCCAGGAATCACCCACTGCAGCAGAAATGGATACAGTAGCAGAGGGAAGCCTGGAGGGAAAAAATTCTCTTTGGAAGTCAGCCTAATTATCATCCAGAAGCTGATCTTATGTTTCTAAAGAATAAAAAAAATAGTTTGGCTCAGGAGCAGAAGGAGGAAACTAGTTTGGTAAGTTGCTTTGAAGCAGCAACGAGAACACCTATCTTATCATCTCCTGAATGCTCTGAAAGGTCTTGCCTGGTATGTATATGTGAAGAACTTCAGTGATTATTAAATTGGCTTCGCTTTAACAAATAAGTTTTGTTTGCATTCACCATCCAAGTGTCTGATCAAACATCATTTATTTTGCGGAAAGATGTAATCCACCAGTGCCAGTAAAGGGAAAACAACTAGAACTTTTGTGAGGGCACAAAACGTAGCTGCCTCAAGGAGGTGATAGTCACAGCCACCCTGATGGACTGAAGCAGCCCATAGCCTCTGATCCGTTGGGAGTAACTCCTCTGTTGACAAATGGGGATTGTGTTGGAAGTTTCACTCCTGATAGACTGTTGATGTTTGTCTGTTTTTTCTGTTTTCAGGTTCCTCCCCCTCCCCCTTTTCACACTCCCTCCACTATCGCTTCATGGTTGTGTCTGAGCCCGGCGTGGGGTTGCCCCAGTTCATTGTCACGGCACACTTGGATGGTCGACTCTTTGCTTATTATGACAGTCAGGGGAAGAAAGGGCAGCCTCGGGAGACCTGGATGGAGGAGATGATCCAGGTGGACACCGAGTATTTGGACTGGCTCAACCGAAATGCCAGAAACACCGAGCACATCCTGAAGTGGCAGATCCGGACGGTGATGGGTCGCTACAACCACAGCAGAGGTGCACAAGGAGTGTCTGCCAGGCTCCCATCGTGTGCCTGCAATTTTTTCAGAACAGGAAGGGAATTTCTGATCACTTCCAGTTTTGAGATTGGGAAATGGAGAATTTGGGCCCTCTTTGGGAAGCAGGGTACATCCTGTGAAAGGTCTTAGCCACTTCCCCAAAGTGTCCCCTTCCACTGTAGCAGGACATCTGGAGAACCACTCAGGGGTGTGCGGCTAAGCATGAGGCGGGCATTCCCCTGAGTAGCTGGTGTGGGAAGACTTCTGTTCGATGTACGTAGTACAGTGGTGCCTCGTTTAGCGATGTTAATCCGTGTAGGAAAAAATGTCGCTAAACAATTTAATCGCTAAGCGATTTTAAAAAGCCCATAGGAACTATTAAAATGCGTTTAATATGTTCCTAAGGGCTAAAAACTTACCTTAAAGCCAAATTCCTCCATAACGGCAGCCATTTTGGGTGCCTCTTAAGTGAGGCAAAACAGCGGTGGCCATTTTGTTTTTGCGATGGCCATTTTGGAACCTCCGATCAGCTGTTTTAAAAGGTCTGGCCATTTTGGAACCGCCGAATAGCTGTTTATAAAAGGTTGCTTTGCGGTGATTGCTTCCCCGCAATCATCGCAAAGTGATTTTTTCCCATTGGGGCCATTGCTAAGCGATCACTCTAGCGATGGGCAAAACTCCATCGCTAAGCAATTTTGTCGTTGCACGGAGCGATCGCTAAGCGAGGCACCACTGTATTTTCTAAACTAAAAGCCCAACCAGATCGAAAGGGAAATCTCCTGTCCATGAAAACTCAAGATCGTGGCTTCCTTTATTGACTCATTCAACCTTCTCTTGGTCTGTTCTCTTTGCCTGTTCCTTAACATCATGGTTTCTCCCGGTGAGTTTTGTTTTCTCGTGCTGTGCTGAAAGTACAAGAGTTACCGTTTCATCCTTTTTCCTTCCGGAGAGAGTTCAGGCCCGATTTGATCTCAAATCCCCTTATTGGTCTTTTTGACACCATGTCTGGAAAGCAGCTGGAAAAGAGATGGACTGACTCATTTAAGGAAGCCAGTTTTGAGTCCCTAATTAGTGAGATGGTCATAAGCCAGAACTGACTTGGCTGAGCAAGAGAACAAGATCTTTTGAGCCATCTGTGAGGAGCCCTCCCTTGACGTAACTTTGCCGGTTGGAGCTTCCCTAAGTTCAGAAACAGCACCATCTGGCCACAAGAGTTCACTTCATCCATTCAGTGCAATGATGTCTTCTTTTTCTTTTAATTTGTGCTTCTTTGTTTGCTTTTTTGTTTTGTTTCTAGGTGGGTTCATTTGTTTGGGCGTGGGAATGTTGTTTGGCTTTTGCCTTTGCTCTTTGACCGATGTGCTTCCACAGATTAAGATGGCTGCTTCTTGGAAACCCAGCCCCATCCTCAACACAGTTAATCTTTCAGGGTTCCACACCCTCCAGTGGCTTTTCGGCTGCGAACTGAGCCAGGATGGACTCAAGGCCGGGGTCAACAAGTTCAGCTACGACGGGAAGGAGGCCCTCAGCTTCGAGAAAGACTCCCTGACCTGGACAGCCTACGATCCTGTTGGCCAGGAGTACAAAAGGGAATGGGAGTCTGAGCCGGGACGCACCCAGCGCTCGAGACACTACCTGGAAGAGAAATGCATTGGCATGTTGCGCCAACTTCTAAAATCTGACAAGAAGGAGCTGCAGAGAAGAGGTGAGGCTGGAGACCCAACCATAACAATTTGTGTACGAGTGAAGTCTGGAAAGGCACAGCCTGGAAAAATTTTGTTTTCTCCGAGCTCATTCTCAGAATTGCAGCTCCACATATGAGAAAAGCCGTGTGTGTGTGTGTGTGTCTGTGTGTCTGTCTGTGTCTGTGTGTGTGTGTGTGTGTGTTCTGGCAGTTATTCTGCTCATTCAGGACTGCTACCTGCAC